ATGATAGAAAAATCTTTCTACTCGTGTAAAAGTTATTTTCTGTTTTCGACTCTTGTATTATTTATCACTTTTCATTTCATCTCTTCCCGTCTGGATAATTTGAATCGAAGACCTTTCATCCAAATTTGGTGTAATGAACATTTTTCTACTCGTTGCTGTGACAGGTTTCAAATTCAAATAGAATTCTGGAGGATTATGCTGCTAAGGTGAGTTTTTTCATTCAGTGTTTGATTACAAATCTTGAATTTATGTTACTTTGAAGGGAGGGGGAGGAACAGCAATATCAGAAGGAACAATCTGTGTACTTGGCTTTAGAACGACGACACAGTTAAAACGTCTGTATTGCTCCTGTGACAGGTTTCAAATAGGATTCTGCAGAATGTTGCCAAGGTGAGTTTTTCATTCAGTGATTGATTATGGTCTTCAATTTCTGTTACTTTGAGGGAAAGGGGGGGGGACGAGGGAGAGAGGGCATCGATATCAGAAGGAACTATCGGTGTGTTTGGCTTTAGAAGGACGACTCAGTTAATTTCTGTATTGCTTAAAAGTTATTCTCTTTGTCTTGACAAATTAAAAAGGAGTTGGAAAACAAAGCAAGTTTACTGTGAATATCCATGACAATTCCAAAGTTTATTTTGAAATTACTTCCTTTGATATCAATAAATGGATTTCCTCATTCAGTTAAAGATTATTTTCAATAATGCATAAACTTTTTATTTTCACTGTATTCAAGTTTTCCTTTTCTCGTATGAAAGGTTTCACCACAATGCAAATCCATTTTTGAATTTCTTACATTTCTTGTGGCACATGAAAATTTAAATTCTTTAAATTAAGTAATTTATTCCTAATACGACACAGTCTCTCTATGTTAACTCTTCCATTCACTGTTGTGGCAGGTTTCAAAAGGTTTAGAGAATCTGGAGAAAAATGTTACAAAGGCAAGTTTTTTTCAGTGTTTATTCATAGTTTTGTGTATGTATCCCTTTTATTTCGAGTTTCGGGCGGCGATATTAAGAAAGCAGCTATTCTGGTGTTTGGCTTTAAAACTAAACCAAGCCGATTACATCTGTATGGTTTAATAACAGTTCTTTTCTCTTTGACAGATTGAAAATAAACTGGAAAAAGTGAAATGCAATGTAAGTTTAGTTCTAAACATACGTGACAGCGCGGAAATTTCATTGATGATAGACTTTGTTTAGATGATTGCTTTAGCGATTAATGGTTTATAATCTAGCTGAACTTATCTATATTAATTTACATTAAACTGTTTCTTTCTTTATACCTGTCATTTATTCACTCACTTATTGATACTGAACTTATATTCTTTCTCATGTGCAAGATTGCACAGCTATACAAATCTAATTCAAACAGAGTAAACTTTGTGCATTTCGGAGAAGTGAATTAAAACTCAGTGTAATCTCAGTACGACATAATCTAATAGCTGTACAAAGATGTTCTCGCCAACAATTTTTTTTTTTTTACCTTTTTAAGCAATGCTTTTGGTTTCTCAAAGGATAGGTAAATTCCAGACAAATCACTTTTATTCAAATTTTAAAAAATGTGAGTGAATCTACAACACTGACCGTGTCACCGAAGAGTCACTTAACCTTTCCATGCCTTTCTTGTGCATTGTCCAATACCAAAACTAGTGACGAGGTAGATCTTCTACTTGCATCAGCCCCGCTTATCTAAAAAGGGCCTAAATATTTAGTTCACCCGTGAACAGTACAATGTAGTCTGAGATCGAACTCGAATTACAATTTACCACCAATTCAAAAAGTAAAAAAGTAATCGTCATTAAGCTCTCAGTTTCTTCAACTATATCAGGGAACGACTTTCCAGAAGAGATTATAACTGTTTACAATGTCTTGCTTTCCGTTAAGTATAGGCCATCATAAATTTTCCTACCTTTACTTGCCAACAAACTACATTTAATTAACGGCATAGAACTGAGACCTATTCATGTATTTTATTTTCGGCTGTGAATCAGAGACTATTGAAACAATTGCAGTTCCCAAGAGTTTGAAAGCGCTCGTCCTTTGCTTTCTAAACGATTGATCTGTGTAGCATAGATTGTGGCCTTCCCTTATGCGGTTAAATTACAAGGATCTTCGCGCTATGTGTAAAGAGCTCCTAGAGAAACTACCAGGCCGATCCAGAAAATTCCGCGTTGGGAAGCCGACAGCGAAAGCCTCCCGCCATCCTTCGTCACAGATGCTCCTCGGTATCAGTGAAATTATTACCTGTCTTCTCGCAAACTTTCTTTTTTTGGCCAAAAAAAAATCATCTTTCTTCTTGTAAAAACAAGGGATTCTGTTTCTCTTAGATCACATGGTCACCGAGATTCAACAGTTCTAAGGGTGATATTGGACCTCCCGGACCTCCCGGGCCTCCCGGACCTCCCGGACTTCCAGGATATAATGGTACTCAGGGCCACGCAGGACCATCTGGGCCACCTGGTGTTCAGGGCCCTCGTGGACCATCAGGGTACAATGGTACTCATGGCCCACCTGGACTCGGGGCCAGTTCCTGTGTTTACCAGAATTCAGCTAGCACTGGCATGAGCCCAAGCTCGGTCTCTCGACAAGAGGTGCAAGTGACGGAGCCAAATGTAAGTTACAGATCAGCTCCCTATTGGATACAGAAGAAATAACAAATCGGTGTTATTGGCATTTTGTCTCTAAAACACCAAACCCTTGCGCCAGACAAGAAACTTTAGTGACAGGGCTAAACGTAAAATTTAGATCACCTCCCCACCCAAAGTGCCGAAAATATCGCTAACGCGGCATTAAAATTGGCAAAATATTCAAAATATTTGTGATCTTTTCACAAGTTCTTTAACAACTGCTGCAATTCCCCATTTCATTGGACAACGTGTCAATACGTATGTAACTGACACTCCGTTACAGTTTGAAATACGTACCTTTTAATCTCGACGATTGACTTGTACATAACACACAGAAAAAATACAGAATTAACAATGCGAACTTAAACCCAACGAAAC